ATCTAAATCATTCAGATACTTAAAGATGAAGAGAACTTACTGCCACAGTTCCATTAGGGTGATCCTTGTGTTAACACACTGAAAAATCTCTTACCAAAATTACCTTTACCTATCACTTCCTCTTTTCTTCATGATAGATTTAGTGGGAAAGTACAAGATGATTACATTTAGGTTTGTGTTGAATACAACCTTTCTTAAATTTAGAAAGAAGGAAATTTGTACGTGGCCAACTTTGATTCCCTACTTCTCAATCCTATAAAGAAGAACAAACTAGGAGAGGGTTTATTAGTTTATAGTATTCTGTGAATTGGGCAATGAAGAGTATTTGTGAAAGTCAAGCTAAAAGTAATTTTTCAGTCTTGCTGAGTTTTTGCCTGAATTACATGATCAAGACTGTACTGACATGGAAATCACTTTTTACTTATGTAGCGAGAAGCTGTTAAGCAGCACTCTGAACAAAGAGACTGGATTCTGAGAACTTGAAGCTTGAGAAATAATGTGAAGGGAGACTTATCCATGGGCCCTAAAACTTTTCACTTAGATGCTGTCCACTTAAAAAGTGGACTCTAAAGGTGATAAACAATGCTCAAAATGGTCAGATTTCTTCTGATAAGAGCTGTAATGAAATGGACTTATCATGAATCAAGAACTCTATGATCTCTTAAAGGGAATACAAGCATCTCCTGGATTGGTTATAGAGACATACTAACTTCTCTCCTAGACATTCATTTTTTTTTTTTTAAGGTTTTTATTGTGGATTGAGTGAAAGTTTACAGGGCACATCATCAGTTTCACATTCAACCATTCATATGACTTGTTTCATTACATTGATTATAATCCCCTCCATATACCATCAGTTCAGTGGACATTCATTCTTTAAGCTGCCACCCTCTGTGTGGTTGTGTGCCATCAAGTTGGTTCCGACTTATAGCGATGCTGTATAGGGTTCCCAAGGAGTAGCTGGTGGGTTTGAACTGCCAACCTTGTGGTTAGCAGTCCAGTGCTTATCCTAAGTGCTGCACCAGGATTCCACAGCCTTTTTTTCTAGACCATATTATCTTGTTAACAACAACAAACAAGATAATATGGTCTAGAAGAAAAGACTGTGGAATCCTGGTGCAGGACTGAGTCGGTTCTGACCCACAGTAAGCTGGTATAGTTTCCAGGTGGTGAGCAGCTAGTGAGCTTGGACCGCTGACCTTGTGGTTCAAACTGACTTTGAGTTCAGTGCATTAACCCACAGCACCATACCAGGATTCCATATTTCTTGGAGGGATGGTTTTATATTAGAAATTTACCCTGTGCCTCTAGTTATTTTAATTCCTCTGTTCTGGCTTTTCCCCATATCTCTTTTAAAGATTATATAAGAAAGAAGCACACACACACACATGAGGGAATACTCTCACTTACATTAATTTGTGGGTCTTAAGTTGGTCTCATCCCCCTAAAGAGTAAAAACTTGAGAAATGCACCTATAAACTGGCATGGAATTGTATATTATAGTTAAGTGTCATTGAGTCGGTTCTGACTCATGGCTACTCTGTATAGGGTTTCAGAGGAGTGGGTTTGAAGTGCCAACCTTGCAGTTAGCTGTCTAGTGCTTAGCCTACAAAACACACTGCCATCAAGTTGATTCTGACTCAGTGATCTTATACAGGACAGAGTAGAACTGCTCCTTAGAATTTCCAAAATTGTAAATCTTTACAGGAGCAGACCATCAGCCTCATTTCTCCTGTGGAGCTGTTGGTGGATTTGAACTATCAACCTTGGAGTTAGCTGCCCAATGCTTAGTCCACAGCACCATCAGAGCTCCTTGTTGCCTTATAGGAGACTGAATACATCATTTCTGCACAGAGCTTTTGTTTTGTTGAAGAAAATTGATGTCTTCATCTTTCCTTGCCCGACTAACAACTGCATAAAACCTCAGTCCAACAGTGTGGATTTTCCCCTGGTTGACTTGGGTGTTTAGTGAACATTATCTTTTCATGTAATATTTCATTAAACAGCTAAGTTCACAAGTGTTCCCAAGATTTATAACCCTCAAGTTCTTTGCCAAGTAAATAAACTATGATTTGTGGCAGTTTACTGTGACTCTCTGGATCTAACTGGGCTAAATTTTGAAAAATTATTATAATAATGGTTCTGTAGAATTTAGGAATGCAACCAGCGCCATTTGGCACAGTTAGGACAATAGCATTCTGGTTTTTTTAACTTCAGTTACATGTTGGCAGTATTTCAAATGCTTGGCACAGATATCTAAGTGAATTTAAAGAAGAAACATTAAAAAAATATCAGACAGCTCTGAGTGTTCAATGTAAGGAGCACTGTTTTTTAACATAAAGATATCATGACACTATGAACTTGGTCATGGGTGAAACAGCAAACATAAAAACCACTTGCAAAGGGTTTTTACATCTTCTTCTCATAGAAGGCACTATCACTTTTCTAGAAGTAACTCCTATTCGTATCTACCAAATTTATTTGTACCTTTTTTTTTTTTTTTCTGTAGACAGGTTGGTTTCTAGAGAATCAATGCATTCTTACATGGTCCTTGGGTTTGACACCAACAGTGCCCAGATTCTGGTAAAGGATCTGCTTTCTAGACATTTCTTCTAAACACAGTGACAAATCTACTTCCAAAATTTAGCTAGGAACATAGCAGCTTTGTAGGATAAGCACTGGACTGGGAACTACAAAGCTGGTGGTTTAATCCTACTAGCTAATCAATCCATGGAAGAAAGATGTGAGGCTTTCTCCTCCCACAAAGGTTGACAGCCTAAGAAACCCGGTGCCAGCTCCTTATGAGTTGATGGCACTTAACAAGTTTAGATGTGAAAGAAAATGTTATCATGGGAAGTAAGGTGTGAAGGCTAGCAAAAGCACGAAAGCCCATATTCTTTGTGATGGGTCATTGAACAAAACTGATCCAATTTCCAGGGTTTCCCCAAGGCCCCTCCCCCATGAGAAGGCTGGGTTTCCACACATATACATAATGACCCAAAGTCTAGAATAGCATTCCTGAAATTAATCCAAGTCTGCCTTACCTTCCTATCACCCCATGTTGATCAATAAAATAAAACACAACAAAAGCAAACAAATCTTCCCCACTTTTGGGCTAATGATTTTAAAGAGCACCCCTTATAGCTCAAAATTAAAAAAAAAAATTCTTACAATGTCCACAGTTTTGTGAGACAACAGGTCAATGCTTGCATATCACTCACAAGTGCAGCCCTTGTATGGGGGTAGGAGTGGGAGGGACTGAACTAATTTGCTGGTTGCTTGAAATAGAAAGAGAAGCAGAGTGGAGACATAGAATTGCTTTCAAAATTTGTTCTAAGGCCAAGCTTCCAGTATGGGTAAGATGTCACTCAAGACACTAGACAAGCAATGGTAAAGCATGAATATTTATATTTAATTTACATTTGACAATTTGCACATAAATAACAATGTAAACCAGTACGTAAACATAAGAAGATTGTTGTTCTAGCAAAGTAAAAAGCCAATAACTTTGGTCAGTTTTAACTTTGAATAGAGGAAAAAAAATAAAATAAAACCACTGTTGATTGTGGGCTCACATTCACATGTAAGAGGCCAAAGAGGGAAAGTCAGACAGAAAAGCAGGACATCTCAAGCCATTGTGCGCATCTTTGTAAAGGTCTTCAAATATAAGAAAGCGCAAAAGGATAAAAAAAGAAATAAGTGGTTGAGAATACAAAGTATTTGGTGTTGATGTTAGGGTAGTGATGCTTTGGTTTACCTACAATAAAAACACTTTATCTGTCAAACATGGAGACAGAAAATTTGTCAGTCTTGCTATTTCAAGGAACAGATCAGTAAGGCTCTTAGGTTTCTCTGGATTATTCTTGATTTATTCTACTCTGCATGTTAACGTTAATTCTGTGAATGATATGCTCAATATGCAAAATGGATAGATTAGAGATGTATTGCTATTTAGAGAGAAAAATTGGGTGGCTAACAGAGTAAATAATAAGATTTTTATTTGTGACTTGGGTATGACCACATAATCACAATGTGGCAAAACAAAACATAAAGCTGTTTTATATTGTCCTTAATAGTAAAAAAAAAAAAGATTCATCTCTTTCTTCCTGGTTGTTATGTGGTCCCCACCTCTGCACCAATGATTAGGTCAAGCCCCAAGCACACCAATATAATTATTCGGTTATTGAGCGTTAAGCAAAGTCTCAGAGAAGGTCGTTTTGGTTTTTTGCCCTTATGAAAAGTAGGTTCCTTTACATGGTTTGGCTCACAATTTAAGTGGTTATAAATATATATACATATGGTATAGTGGTATAAATAGATTTATAAATATACATCATTCTTTGCTACACCTTGAATGCCAACAAGTAATCTTTGGGCTTAGCAGAACAAAAGATAAAATGACACACACTCTATCTTTTTGGAGTACACTTGGGTTTCTTTTTTAGGGTAGCAAATCATTAGATAAGACACCATTTCCTGTACTACTGGACTACTCAATGAGGTAATTGTTGTTGAACAACTTTGCAATGCTCTTTCATCTTCAATTAAATTAACCATAAAATGTAAAAACACAAATACTGAGGACAGTTTTACAGAAAAATATAAAATTGGATGTGTTGGGGATAGGAATGTTCTATTACCCGCTCTTACCCTAAGACACCGAGAATACCCGTTTTTCTGTTTTTGTTTTTAAAGTATGGCCTGAGCCTATCTGCCTCAAGGTCCTTCTTGGTAGTAGAGCACCATGTCTGTGCAACTTTGACATAAAATAACCAACAATAAAAACAACACCAAGACTCAAGCCCTCAAACATCATACACACAAAACCAACTGTGCTTTGGGAATGGTTCGCAGTGGTTTTAAACATGGCATTCTGTCTTCTTCACATTGTTAGAGAATACATTGGGATGCAAAAGTCATGTGGCCATTCTGAATGGTCACATGACTTGGGGGAGATGGGGAGACCCTGCTTTTTTAAGAGAGAAAGGTAGGCTGACAAAGCCGTCTTGTCACCTTTCTGGGTAAAATGGTGGTTGGGGGGAAACTCAGAATGATCTACAAAAATATATATATTTTTTCTTGTATCTTCCACTGAAGTGACTCTTGGGTAATTCTGCACACATCCCGTCTCCCCCACCCCCAAGTCATACAGTGCCATTAAAATGATATGATCTTATGAATTGACACATCAACTGTCTAATTTGGCAATACCAAAACCTCATTTTCAAATATTACAGGTGGAAGTTGGCTGAGGAAAGTAATATATTTGCTAAATTTTAGGTACTTAAGCAGATGGGCAGAAATTATCTACAAAGAATGGCCACAAGACAAAAAAATATAACATTTATACTCAAATTACAAGGAATTTTTCCAGTAATTGTAAACTTTTTTAATGATTGCTTTCTGAATGATAAATTGCATAATAAATTATGAAGTATTATCATTGAAAAAATAATTATGGCTAGGCAATAGTCTTAGTAATGGGAAGGCTATGCAAACATATTCACACAAATACTCAAAATACAGGTTCAAATATATAGATGTGGGTGTAAATAAGTATATATAATAGGTATATATATAGTCTTTGCCTCGTTTATGCCCTGAGATTTCAGTAACTTTGGAGTTCCTTCTGTAATTCCAGAGTGATGAGGTTTCCCCTCACATCTGCCGTCAGGAGAGCTCTGCAGAACTGGAATTGTATATAAGCAATTTGCTACAGGCACCCTGACTCGCCAAGTCCTAAGTTAAAAAACAAAACACTTTTCATTTTCTGAAAATCTTAAGGATCCATTGTTTCAACTGTTTCTTGTTTGACCTTTACAGGTACCAGAGGTAGTGGGTGAGTGTGAGGGAACTTCATGAGGGCCGGGTCTGATGATTCATAAAAGTTACACCCTGGGGAGAGGAGCCCATTCTCCACATTTCTTTGCAAAGAAACCTTGAGACCAGTGTCTTCCTTCTCTTTTCTGACCATGGCCAGAATTTCTTTTTCCACCACAGAGGTCACATCAACATTGTCCTCCATGTCTTCGAGCCGGTCAGCATTGTCACTGATGTCAAACTTCTCGATCTCTTCGTTGATGCGAGTCAGATCATCCAAGGGCAGCCCGGTGGCTGGAGCCACAGGGCAGTTGCCTTTTAGGTGGACCTTGAGGCTGCAGAGGTGGATGTAACTCTTATGGCACTGGGCACACTTATGGGGCCGCTCCCGGGTGTGTAGGCGCTTGTGGAGCTTCAGGTGTACAAACTGGGTGAACTTGGCAGGGCACACCTTGCACTGGTAAGGTTTCTCTCCTGAGTGGAGACGCAGGTGAGTCTTGAGATTGCTGGTGCTACTAAATCGTTTATGGCAAACCTACAGTATAGAGAAGAGGGCAGAGAAGGGAGACAGAGAGACCAGAAGATTAGAAGTTGCTAATGGGAGGGGCAAGCTGAAAAAACAAACAGCCAGCACCCTGGGCGGCTAGAAGCTTCCCTGTGGCACCTACGGTGTGGTATTTAGCAAGCAGGGCGATGCAGGCATACTGCACACGAGGTAGTGTTTATTTCCCCTGCCATTTTCCACCCACTGGAAGCTGGCTGTGTCATCATCTCAGCTTGTGAGCTAGGACAGAGCACTGGGAGGTCCCAGTGCCCTCAGCCCAGGGCAAGGCAGAACTCTCTGTGTTGGCAAACTACAGGTTGTCTGACACAGAAGGGAAACACCAAAGACATGTTCTACAAAGGTCCAAAGTTTCACACAGAAAATACTGCCCACCTGGCATTCATGAGGCTTTTCTCCTGTGTGTACCAGGTAGTGTTTCTGCAGGTGGGCAAGCTGAGTAAAGCCCTTGTTGCAGGTCTGACACTTGAAAGGCCGTTCTCCACTGTGCACTCGGAGGTGGACCTGGAAAGAAGATGGATGTGTTAGGTCTGTTCTCAAACCAGCTCTTAGACCTAATGTTTCTCCTCAGAGACTCAGGCATTCATGATACAAACAACTTAAGCACCGAAACATAGTCTTAACCAGAACAAACAAAGCCCCAATGTTTTCAAAATACTTTGTTCTGTTTGAGCAAAGGAACAAAATCACAGGCTAAAAACAAATTATTTAAAAAACCTAGCCAGTTGTCACCGAGTAGATTCTGACTCACGGAAACCCCATGTAGCAGGCTCTAGAAGGATCTTCTAGCCCAAACCTGCTTTTTCCCCCCAAAGAAACTCAAGAGAGGGCAATAACTTGTTCAAAGCCACCAAGCTAGAAGTGGCAAAAGCAGAACTCACATCCACTAGGTCTCATACTGCTGAGACTGCAATTTATGACTTATGGAAAGTGAGCTAAACACCCACCAGAGTGCACGCACACACACAGATACTAGCAGATGTGCTGACTGCTTTGTGTGGAGGCCTACCTTCAGGTTTGAGAGCTGGCCAAAAGTCTTGGCGCAAACATTGCACTCATACTTAATCTTGCCATTCTGCTTCTTCAAAGGATAGGGAAGTGTCTTATAGCCAGTCATGTTTCTTTTGCTCTTAATGAGATTGATGGCTTCATCACTGCTGGGGGCTGCCATGGCTGCTGAGGTAGCTTTGGGTTGTACCACGTGCTCTGACGTGGCAGCTGTGCCCGCTGTTGGAGACCCGCTCGTGGGGCTACATGCCTTGTCCTTCATGCTGGCGGCAGCCCCAGTTAGGGAAAAGGCACTATGGGGCGCTGGAACAAGCACGTCCCTGGGATGTTCAGGCTGAAGCAACCTCCGTGCTCCTTCTGAGGGCAGTGAGCTTGGGAGAGAAGCAGGGTTGAGCATGGGGTGAGGCAGGTTGCCCCCACTCAGGAGGTTACTGTAGACAGGGTACAACCTTGGGAAAAGACCGAAGTTGTTGATGCCATTGATGTTGCCCACGGCACTCAGGCCATTACAATTCATGCCATAAGGGGGTAAAAGGAACTTGGAGTAGTGGGCATTGTAAGAGGGGATGAAAGCTGATGGGAGATGGGGCGGAGGTGTGTATCCAGGGTAAGAGCCCAAGCCTTCAGTGCCGTAGGGTGCATTCAAGTAAGTGTACGAGTCTCGGTGTTCTTGAGAGGCAGGAGCCAGAGGTGACACTGTATTCCCTGGGCTGCTGTGAGGACTGGAGCTTTTTAGGGTTTGGTCAGGGCTGCTTCTTGCTGAGGGACTTGGAGTTGTGGAGGATGGAATAGGAGAGTGAGTAATGTAGGTTGGTCGCTCCATCCCATAGGCTAGAGACGCTTTCAAAAAGTCTTCGGGCAGAGGGGCCCGGATTGGGTAAACAACCCGAGGATACAAAGGCATTTCAGGGCTCCCATTTTTCCTGAAGTCATCCATGTCTTTTTCTGAAGTAAGGGGTGAAATGTTGGAACGGTACAAGTCCCTTCCTTTGGAGGGGTTGGAGTCCAATTTTAGGATTTCTTTTACGCTGTACTCTCTTTTGGGGGCACTCTTTGGGCAAAGTTCACTTTTCTCAGTGCTCTGTTGCTTTGGGTTGTCCTGTGTGTGTGCTGAAATGAAGAAGAGAGGGCAATTACTCAAAGGGATATAGAGAACCGAAGTGAAATTGCCAGCGTACTCTCTCTTCTCGAGAAAACATGAGCACCAGCTGGAGACATGAGGAGGCACACCTGGCCCCCTTAACGCCCGCTCATTCGAGAGTCTCTGGGCCACTCACTAAAAACGGCTGCTCCGTTCCCCTCAGCAAAATATGACAATGATGGCAGCTATCAAGTGAATAGTGCTATCTGGATTATTTTCTTTCCACTAGTAAACACTCTAAGACAGCAAAGTGTTATTCGAGCCTGACCCAACGGCTTCCATTAAAATGGTGTGGAAAAATACTGGGGCGGGGGGGGGGTGGGGGGTGGGGTGGAGGTGGGGGTGTCAGAGGTTAATATAAAGTCATTCTGCTGTTCACAGTTTACCTAAAGGAAATCAGCACACCCTGTGAGCTAGATGTGAAAGATTAAGACTCATTTCAAGTAAGAAGCAGTCATCAATTTTTGCCTTGATTCTTATTTAATGTGAATTTGATAAAGCCCTGTTCAAACTGCCTACACATCCAATAGACAGATGAGCAATGTGGATGCCACCCCTTCACAACCTCCATTTGCTGATGACCCAAGAATAATCTCTCTAAAGCCTGGTCTGGTAGAACCAGGTTCCCAGCAAGGCTGTCCCCTGGAATCACAAAGCGTGATACAGTCACCTCTGCCAAACCACAACAGGCACTTCCCGAGCCAGTCCAATTACTTAGAGCACCAAAGAAAACAGAGGCAGCGGAGATGAAAGCATTTACTCCAAAAGAAGGTATATGATTACTTGGTAAATATACTATTTAGTAACAGCAGCAATGAGGAGGAACAGTTCCAGAGCATCCATAGCACCGCCAGCCCTCCCCCTGCGCCCCCCCTCCCCCAATACACAGAGCAAGCAAATGTATCTTCTGTGACTGAAGATGCCTTCAGGAAAACACCAGTCAGAGGGTGGGAAATGCAAAACTCCCTGCTCAGCATTCCCTGGAAATCAAAAGTAAAACATATGACGCTTAGTCTGAGGTCTGGTTATTGGAGGGCAGACAGTCAGTGTGTGTGAGGATGCCTTGGGAGGCAGCAGAACTCTTTGCTTCAGTAGGGTCCAGGCTATGTGTTGAAGCTTTTGTCAAGTGTCTTGAAATGTCTCGGCTTGATTTGACTGAGAAAGAACTCCAGGCCTGATATCTGATAGGTCTAGAAATTAACTATGTGGAACTCCAGATTCTGAAGGCTTCAAATCCATTCTCTTGGCTGACAGGTTTGAGGGATTCAATTCTAGTTTGAGAGCTCCTCAGAGAATGTTATCTCTCTGGCTAGCTGTTATCAGTTACTCCTTGGCCAGCCAGCAGCCCCAGAATAAACACAGAAAACAACACTATCAGGGAAGATGCTGATGGGGGCAGTGATGGAAAGATTGGTGAGGGAGAGGGATTTCTGAAGCCACTAAACCAAAATAAATATCACACCTTATCAGGCCAATATCAGTCTTCTAGTGAGGCCCAGCAGGCAGGAAGTTCAAATTGTCACTTTTGTTTTTTAAAGCTAAAATGGCAAAGGAAGAGAGAGACAGCTAAGCTGGAAAACTGATAGGAGAGGCATCTCAACAGCCACAGAAAGGAATTTCACAGAGGTGAAAAAGTGATTTGGAGGCATCTTCCACATAACCCCCCTAAACCCCCCGGCTGGGGGGGGGGGGGGGGAAGAAAGGCATCCTAATGAAATGGAAATACAGAAACTTTATTCAACTTTCTGCCATTTTTAGTCAGCAAATTTTACCCAATGAAGTCTCATAAATTTTTCCAATTGGCTTCAAAACTCCCTTGGTTCTAAAATCCAACAAGATAAAGCTTCACAAATAAAAAATTAAGTCCATATACGGCCCTGTCTCTAATACTCAGGAAGACGGTCTATTAAGCACATTAAGAAAGGTAGCTTACAGGAGCTGAGACAAAGCTGATGATGGGGCCAGAAAACAAAAAAATTAGGATTGATAATTTTCTGTGCAAAATACTTAGGAGAGTACCTGGCAAATAGTAAACCCCCAATAAAGATTTGCCATTTTTTATGCCTTCAGAAGGAGAAATCAAACGATATCTCATTCTGAAATGATATCCACAGGGGAATGTCAGCTTCCCGGATATGTTCTACAGGTAGTACTTTTGGAGTCTGTATGAAGGTTCCGTTAAAAAAAAAAAATCATCTCTCAAACAGCAGCTGAGTAATCAGTAGAACTTGTGTCATTTCTGACTCTCCCACTCAGCAGCAGCTTGAGTTAACATGAAAAAGAAAATCAAGATCTGTTTTTGTTCTTAAATCTTAATGGCTGTAGGCGGACGGGAGTCATTTCAAGAGTGAACTGCTTCTGAAGGCTCTGAATGGCTTAATTATGCCAACTCACATTTTCGATCTATAATAAGAACCCCAAGACTACAAGAAAGAACCTAGAAGTTCTGCAGTAAGCAAAACAAAGCCTGTTTTCAACTGAAACTGAGAAAGCAGATTAACATTTAGAAGTCTATAATTTGGTCAACTGTTTTCTAGATGGGTAGATAGATAGATAGAAAAAAAAAATATCAAAAACTTTGGGAGGGGTAGGAATTTAATAGTTCTTATTCCTTTTTTTTTGGAGACCTGGTGTGGTGCTGTGGGCTAATGCGTCAGACTGCAAAGTTTTTTTAACTGCAAGGTTGGTGGTTTAAGCTCACCAGCTGCTCCTTGGAAACCCTATACAGGGTCGCTATGGGTTGGTACCTACTCAATGGCACTTAACAACACCACCAAACTCCTTTTTTAAAACTTTTTTTTGCTCTTTTTAAATGTCATTTAGAGTTTGTGATCACTGGTACTTACTTTCTCTTATCCCGGTTTGCTTCAAATTCCTTCTCCTCAAAAGTCAAAGCCAACTTAGCCACCACTGCCACCCAAACCCTCAAGGAGATCTGGGCCCAGAACTCCATTGTGTTTTAAGCATGGAAACCCAACACAACTCATTTGGAGACACAATCTACCTATTAGACCTGATGAAACAGTGGAAAATTTCCTGATCTAGTCTCAATCGTCAGTTGCCACACCTAAGACAACTTAGGTTTCACAATTGGCAGCAAGAGTCTTGTCTGACTGTGACTGGCTATTGTTAACTCTCTTCTTTACTATGAATACTGGACAAGTAAAGGGTATCTGAAGAAAAGGTTTAACTAGCACTTTATAGGACTTTAAAAAAAGATTCTACATAAAGGAAGGGAGATATTTGGGGAAACAAGGGTGTTACTTTTCTCAGTACATGTGAAAGTTGCTTCTGAACACAAAAAAGAACATGCATTTGGAACTTAAAATACTGTGTGGAGTGTTTCTTTGGAGAATAAAAATGAAAGACCTTTAGAACAGTTTGTGATTGGCTTGGGTGGGGGAAGTATGTGACAAAGCTTCATCATGCTTGGTGCAAATTCACTGGGCTGGGTCACCTCAAATGGAGTTACTATTACAAAAAAAACAAAAAAAGACTTTCTCTGACTCTATGAATGATTAAGCTCAAGGGATTGGAAGGAGACCCTCCAGAGGAAGTGGCTTGCTATATACTAAGAAAGAGGAACTAGCAAGTCTTCCCATGAAATACCCTGCTGAAGTATAAGTTCCAGAAAAATGTGACTGTGCGTCTTGTCTTTTACCACCAACTCTTATCACTGGGTCTCGATCGTACATATGCCAAACTATCTGAAAGGCTCCTGGGGTACTCCACATAAAAGAAATGGCAGAGAAAATCTCCAGAGTGCTGAATACAGATGAAGGAAAAGAATCACCTTTGGTCAAACTTGATGAAACCGATTTGCTCATCTTAGAAGTGTTTGTTTCTAAACATTCCAAGACCCTTTCCTGAAGATTCAGTGATTATTCAGTGAAGATTCCACGTTAAATTATGGGACAACAGATACAAAACCCACAGACTCTAAGCGGGTCCTGTGGGGGAGGCGCTTACACTTTTTTGGTCCCAGATTTTTAGAAAACCGAAAAATATACAATGGACCATGGGGAGATATGTAAATCTGAAGATGTCCACCAAACAATTATAGTTGTGAAGTGCCATCGAGTTGGTTCTAACTCACAGCGACCCTGTACAGGGTTTCTGAGGCTATAAATCTTTCTGGGAGCAGAAAGCCTGATCTTCCTCCCATGGAGCAGCTGTGGGTTTGAACTGCTGACCTTGTGATTAGCAGTCCAGTGCTTATCCTACCGCACCACCAGAACTCCTCCCAAATAGTTATGTTGTCATTTAGTGCTGTCGAGGCGATTCAGACTCAGAGCAAGCTTGTATAGATTATACACAACTAGGATAAATAATTGGTACTAAGGTTTAAGTCAAACTTCCAGTTTGTGCAAAAACATCTCAAAGGTGAAAAAATGAACCATTTAACCTTCAGATAAAGCAAATGAGACAGCATGCTGGTGAATGTCATAAAGGGTAGATGGGGATTCTTTGTATTATTCTTATAACTTTTCTTTAAGTCTCAGGTTATATCAAGACAAAAAGTTACAACAAATTCAGCAGTTTTAATTTTTAATCCCCAAAGAACTGATTTTTAAAAGTGTTATATGAGACAACTACCATAGTAGTTAGAGGTTAGAATCAGAAACTCCTAAGTCATTCAGAGAACATTTGAAAATGACTAAAAGGAAGAAGCCATTTGCAGCAGAGAGAGGTCATGACAGTAAATTTTAATCAAATAAAAAAGTAAAAGCTGAGGAACTGAGAATTTGTTAAGATAAAGTGATCTAGGCAGCTACTGTAATACTGATGAGGCGATCAGATGATTAAATTTTTACCATAAGGAAGGAAGTGAAGATACAAAATCTTTAAGGTTATCCATTTAGAATAATTTTTGAAAAATCATGACTGAGACTTGTTCTAGGAACAGTCTTACAATGTTCCATGTCAGAGAATAACTTAAAAAACAAACACAAATCTTCACAGTATTTTTTTTTATGTATGTTAAAAGCACCAATATATTACCAAAAATAAGGGGTTATCACCTGTGAACTTAGACTGTCAAAACCAGCTCTCATTATTATGGTATTCCACTCACCCACATTAGAACTGGACATGTGTTTCTTCCCATAACTTTCGGAATTTAACACTTAAAGCAACTCTTCCTTTATTTTCTAGTGATCAAGTTTTATACTAAGAACTTTACAAGAAAAAAAAAATCCCCCCCTCTTCAAGTCATTTGTTTAAACTACCTAGTGTGGCCCAACAGATGGAGCTGTATAATTAAAAACATGTTATTAGCTCATATGAACAGGACTGACATTACTGGCATTTAAAAATTTTTTTTGTTCTGTAATCCACTTACTGAGATTCATCATTGTCAGCTCTCCAGGATAAGGGTAGTGAAGCCTTTCTGCAAAGTCCCGACAATACCACACAAGAAGTTCCTGGTTGGCAGGGATGGGCTTAATGGTGTAGAAGTAGATGTTCATCCCGTTCTGACATGCAGCCAGGTTTTGCTCCCAGGCAGAACGGGAAGGATTCACATAACGCATCCAGTTGCTTTTCTGCTCATTAAAGCCATCGATGATGTGGTGAAGCTCTCCCCTGGAATAGATCTGTCCAAAAGAGAAGACATGTAAAAGAGGGTCAACCCCAAAGCGATGGAAAGCTTCCCCTAGCACCTCTGAGGACAAGCATAGAAAGTACCATGTGTGATTTCTGGTCCCCTATCGCCTAGTGAGAAAAATAAATCTGTTTAGCTGAAGTAGTCTTGAATCAGCAGAAATAAGGGCTGTTACAGATAAGGCACACTTGGTCAGTTACCTTTTCCATTTCAGTTTTATCGTCTTTTCACGTTCGGGAAATAAAAAGCAGAAGAATGAAACACACAATTTCATTTAAGGAGCTGCCTCCAACTGATTAAACCACCAGAGTACTATTTTGCTACCGGAGTGAATGGCAAATGGGCGAGGATATGATTATGCTGACTTTTAATGCTTTGAGTCACCTGGGCAAGACTAAGGCGACTGACTACAAATGACTACGTCAAACTGAGTCTCTCACAGTTTTTCTAAGGCCTCTGTACTCGCGTTTCCTACACCCCCGCCCAAGGCTTAAACTATGCAAACATCCTCCACCCCCACCCCTCCAAGTCCTAAAGTAACACTTGTTCATATGAATACTTGGAATCTTGCCTTTTTGTGGAAACACTGGGTGGGGCAAAGGTGAACTTCACCTGCCATAACAAAGTGAACACCGGGACAGAAGCCAGAATTCAACAGTCTACTGAGAAGTCACTTTTCCTCTTGATAAACATGTTCAGCCCTGTACTTTTCTCTCAAGCCAAAGGAGAGGAGAGGGAACCCTCTTATCTGTGAGGAGGTTGGCTAAAACGCCACACACAGAGCCACAGGCGTGTATTTTTGGGAAAAGAACAGGAAGAAAATATGTTCTTTAAAGGCAATGTATCATGAATTCAGAGTTTGCATTAAAGCAATACTACTTCTGGTGAACAGACACACTGCAGATATTGGGTGAAAAGGCAGAGAGGTAAGAAGAGGAAACATGAGAGTCTGACTGAAACGACTTTATAAACAAATTCTTTATCCTTCCACAGAAAGGTTTTTTTTCTCACTCTCTCTTTTTAATAGGTGCTGCCTTTTCTTTAGACTTAACATTTTCTTTTACAATCAGTGCCTGGTCATCTACAACTTTTTATCTCCAAGTACAAGGCCACTGTTTGTAACAGAAAAAATTTCTCTGACAGGGCAGCAGGTTTATGCCGTGGTCTTCTTCACATGCTGTCTACATTAGTCTATATATTGTTTCTGTATTTCACTTAAACCTTATCAAAAGTAAAAAGGAACTCTGTCCCTTTAACACAGGCAGTAAACACCAGAATCACTTTCTTTTAAGAGTAACTTCCTGTAAATTGTGAAGGGGGAAATACATGTGGCTTCATCAAAGCAGTTTGTGAGAGCTTTTGCGGTGTGTTTTGTTAAGAGAAAATGGAACAAGGCTGGGTGAATTCTGCTATCAAGAGGGGTTTTCAAGTTTGTTTACTCTGATGTGCAAACTTCCAGGAACATGGGGTTCCATCACTGATGCACTCTTCGCTGGGGCGGAAGCTGCTTTCTAAAGCTTTGGGTACGCTGCTTCCAGTCAGCCTTCCACGGATGACAATTTACTGTATCCTCATTTAAAACCAGCAACGTCGATGCCATGAAGTCACACACATACACACCCACAAGAAAATAAAACAATAATGCAAACATAAAATGAACGCTGTTCCCTATCACCTCACTACATTTCCATATATTATCAAAAAGATTAAAAACGTGCTGACTCACAGTGCAGTTACAAGAAATAATGCCACTGGTTTCTCAACTTGAACATCCCTTCTCTCCTGTGTAATTTGCATGAAACTTTTTCTTTCCCCACAACAGATGTTAGTATTCCTGCCAGCAAAATCAGAATGTTTTTAATATGTGGGATGATAACGCCTACAAATATCCCTTATATGTGAAAGAATAATAGAAATAAACCCTTCCCTAAGGAAAGCCTTTCAGTCACTTGTCAGAACTCTTCAATGGACCAGGGAACTGTGACAGGTGATGGATGGGAGGGTCTTAGGGATTTCTTGAATTAATGAGATTTAGGATATCTTTAATTCTGACCCTGGACTCCAAGAATGAATACAACTCTATGGCTCACGTCAGGGAAGAGTTTATTGGTAATAAAGGCAAAACATGCCCTTGTTGACATTTTCCCCATTAAAAATCATATAAAGATGCTTTATGCATGAGTAATTATGAAGTTAAGACTGTAAGCACTCAGGTTTTAGTGAATTTGTTCAGATTCTCTTTTGCTAAGGAAATAGTAAAATACTTTTTTTTTTTAAAAAAAGAAAACCTTCCTGGATTAAAAACAAACAAAAAACCTTGTTCCTTAGGAACAGCTACTGAGTGATTCCCAACAGAAGTTTTTTGATAATGATGGATGTGACAATATTCAAGGCAAAAATATTGGCCAAGGTAATTATAATCTAATTCTTGTTAATCATGCAAACATTTTTTAAAAAGAATGGAAACAATGGCTCCCTGTTTGAAATGTACATTTTGTATAAGTATAAAAAATGACTTTTTATTTTTAAATTAATAAGCGTATCTTTATTTTCTAAGTGAAGAAAAGGAATATCCCAGAAAGATATGCTGGAATCGGGGTTGGGGGTCGGGGGTAGGGAATAGTTTTACTTTTCTCAGTTCACTCCTTAATGCAAGATCTTTATTTCCTGGACTTCATCTCACTAATCTACCTCTGGGGTCTTTTTTAATCCTGCTACAGTCCTGGCATAAGGAGTTCTGGTAGTGTAGTGGTTATGAATCGGGTTGCGAACTGCAAGGTCAGCAGTTCGAAACTACCAGCTATTCTTTGGGAGAAAGATGAGACTTTCTGCTCCCGTAAAGATTTACAGCCTCGGAAACCCTGTACAGGGTCACTATGAGTCGGAACTGACTCCACAGCACATAACCACCAACCACCACCAGAATCCTGGTGTGGAGCTGTAGGAATAAGCATTGACTGTAAGGTTAGTTTCAAATGTAAGATGGGTTTGAACCACAAAAGTCGGCAGTTCAAGCCTACCAACTACTCCTCAGAAACCTTAGACAGGGTTATTATGAACCAGAACCGACTTGGTGGTACTTAACAACAATTCCAAAGGAAATTGTACTGGGCAGATTTGTTAAACAAGAAAACATAACATCTGACATATTTGCAGTAATTTTTTTCCTTATTCTACGGAGGAATCTGTTGCTGTTGTAAAGTGCCATCGAGTCAGTTCCAACCTATAGTGACCCTGTATATAGGGTTTCCAAGGAGTGGCTGCTGAGCTTAGATCCCGACCTTTTGGTTCAAACCGATTTTGCAGTTCAGCTCATTAACCCTCAGCACCACACCAGGACTCCTGGACTAATCTACATGCTGTCACATTCAATTTTTGATACAGACTCATTTATACAGAACTAGTCCTGTCGTCCTTTTTCTATTTTCTAAGCTTCATCCTTCCTTCATGTCATTTATTTTCAAGACAATTCATTTATGATAACACATCCAGTTAACGTTAACTCAGCAAGAAATCAAGAAGGGGTGAAAACTAACGCTTGGTGACTCATTACTACTTCCTTGCAGAGAAATGCAAATTAAAACTACCCTTGAAACAAGCAGCAAAATGTTTCCTTTCATCACAAAGCTCTAATTGTCAAAATTAAGATTCACATAGAGTCCATTTCTCCTGGCATTAACCACCTATGGGCTGTATTTCCAGAGGCACACATATTTCTTCATATTTGCTCAGAATTCCCCGAGGTCTGTGGGGAGTCTGAATACTTGTAGGTGAGCCCAGCTTTTCTCAGGACAGGTTGAAGAAGGGACTGACCTAGCTCTTCTAGCTCCATTCTTCCCCCCGACTTAATACTTAATTAATCTGGAAATTGTTTCCTTACTTACCCTCCAAAAATATTTTCTGTTTGCATTCTTGGGAACCGTATCATTGGTATAGATTTCTCCTATAAGTGGTCCAAAGCGTGTTCCCTTTGGTATGTATTCTTTACTCACCACTCCAATAACCTAAAGAGGGTAAAACATAAAACAATTACTTCAGCTGTACAATGTTAACTGATCTTTTTTAAGGAATTGAATTGTTAAAGTGGTAATACTATGAGCGCAACTCAGCAACAAATGGGGTTGGTGTGTGTTGTTGCTTAATACAACCAGCAATCATAAAATTGTGATACAATTAATGGTGCCTACCTAATTGACAAACTCAGATATTAAGCAAACACACAATCAAGTAATTCTCTACACTATTTTTATATTAAAATAGTGTAGAGAATTGTTGTCCTGTAACTAAAGAATCTTTATTTTACTCAAATTCTTTTTACACTAGAAGAGCATAGCAGATGACCATTCTGTTTTAGAATAAGAATCAGATAGTTCAGGATGAATTAGATGATCAAGAGTAGACCATTTCAGCAAGCTCCTAGTTTCCCTCAAACCATAAACACTGAGTGCTTAAGGGAAATAAAATAGCTTTAACCTCAGAAACCAAAATAATGTTCTTTGGTTTTTCCACAAAGGCCTAAGGAACTAGAGACCAAACACATTATGTTTCTTTCTTTTTTCATTCCATATGAGGTTTTTTTCAGAGTTTGTAAGTCTCTCTTTAATAAAAGAAAGATCTTCCGAGTAACTTTGTTCTTCTCTAATATCTTCTAAACAACCGTGGTCAAAAGTCCTCCTTTGAAATAGAATTTATACTGAGGCACGTTGTAGGTTCTAAGAGCTGTGGGTTCCAAGATCTGAGGAAATGACCTTCTCAGACTGTATGTATCACACGTTTTGACTTTGTAATACCTGCTAAAGGAATATGCTAACTATCTATGCCTATTCCTCCTTGATCTTAATGTCTTTCTTTCTTTCTTTCTTTCTTTTTGGGGTGGAGAAGTTAAAAAATCACCACCCACAAATCAGGAATCAATTCATTACTATTCATAAGCACTCCTCTGTGAGTAGTTCTTCACATTTTACAGTTATAGTTTGATTTCGGTTTAATTCAATCACATTTCCCTTTCTATTTTCTTCTCATTCAAATCAATCTACTTAGTGATGTCTTACTAAAATGTGCTGGGCATTGGGAAGAGAAAATGGCCTCCCCCCCTCACCCGTCATTTAAATTATTTCTGGTTGTTTCCATGCATTTGTTTCTTTCTGACATGGTAGATCCAAATAAGTGAATCAATACAGTTTCACAAATTTCATGTGGCAAAATGGTAAGATGTTGGTTATGACATTTACAGATATCTCAAGTATCATCAAGATTTAAATCTGTTTAAATGGTCATGGAAGAAGCACACCTACATGGTTGTGACAGACTAGTCTTTCTCATATAAATTTCTAATCCATCAATTTTTTAAAAACAATTTAATATTCAATACACAGACTGAAAAGAGAGAAAGAAAAGAAAATTTCTACACCTAACACAAGCTGAAACAA